CCTCCGCCCCGTGAATATACCACAACTTATGCTATTACACCTGCATATGATTGTCTTAGTTGTTTTTCAACTAATCAATTATGACTCTTACATTTTAAATTCTTACAAAAATTTAAATTTTGTAATTTATAATACATTTCTTTAAAGTATAGTACTCTTGCCTTTTATCACCTTTAAACCAACTAGCAATTTCTTGGCAGAAGGTTTTTATTAATTTTACACTCTTGTTATCACAGGATAACAAGAATTTTCGAATTGCTTAAAAAATTTTGACCAGAACTTAGGATTTTTGCACAAGAATAAGGTTAAACGATTCCAAATAATCTTTTTCCTCAATAATTTCAAATATATTTTTTCAAATTTCAATTAATAAATCTTATCCGAATATATCGTTAGATACAGCTGGTTATAGTACAAAAATGAAACAAAAATTTCTTCGAACACTTTACGAACGTACTGACAGATGCTTGTATTTGTTAGATGGATTCGGAAAGAAAGGGAGTTACCTTACACTTTCTTTTTATGGCCAACTCTGTTCCATGCCATGTGCAGTCAAAAGTGAATTCAGAGTTTTACCGCAGTAATTACATATATAGATGAAAAGTCAAATGTAATGAGTACGAGTAAATCAATTGCCTAACATCTCCCATTTTTGTGTAATGGACCATTCCTTGAATCTATGAGAGACGTTGACGTAACAATCCTTCCTATTGAAAACTGCATAGCCATATTGTGCAATTAATGAATCCATCGGCGGAGTTCAATGAAAAATTATAGTGTATATAATATACATAAATGTTGAATTTTCTTGAATTTAACTAGATAGAAAATAAAAATATTGGTGATAGTACTTCTTAATTAATTTGCAGAACTTTGATGGAATGAAAAGATTTCTGGTATGGAGCGTCTTTCTCTCTTTTATTAGATCTTATTATATGATAAATTTGGATTAGAGGGAGATGCTTTAATCGTGTAGTGATTGAGGTACATCAAGAAAAGTTGGTTTTCAAGTCTTAAAAGTATAAGATGCATTCAAAATTTATAAGCGGTTTAGCTAAGCTTCTAAAATCAGCTTATTTTAATAAGTAAAGTTTTGGTAAAAAATAGTTTGCGTTTAGTTAATTAATTTAAAAAGCACATTAAGCAACAATTAATGTTTGACCAAACTTTTAAAAAAGTGCTTCCAAATATATTTTTGTCAAAAATGCTTTTCAAAAAAGTACGCGAAACTACTTTTTCTGCTTCTCCAAAATTGATTTTGTTTCTGCTCAAAAGTACTTTTTTCCTTCTAAAAGCTTGACAAAAAACAAATATATCTTTTCTGGAAAAAAAATACTTTTGAATTTGGAGAAGCTTGCCAAACAAAGTCTGGTTATTCTCCTACATTCATAGTAGTATTTTTTTCAATGTCTTTGCAAGCCAATGTTATAAAATAATAAACTACTATATATCAAGTTTGATTGTATTGATAATATAAAATTTTCTTATATTGTTACTGCATATAACTCAATTCCGATTCCATAATCATCATACTAGATTTTCTTTTTTGACTTTCTTTCAACTATTTTTTCGTTTTCTTCTATGCCAAACTTTTCTTTCCTCTTACTCCCACAATCATTTTACACACGCAAAATCTATTCATCATTTTCAGCTAAAACAATTTCGTCTTTTTTCTTGTTATGTGCGAGGTTTTTCCAATATTAGCTTTTGGGAAAACGCAGGCGACAAGAAGGCAAATTGTTATTCTGACAAAGAAAAAAAATTACTTAGGGGTCGTTTGGTACCAAGAATAAAGAAAATAATTTAAGGACAAAACGTAAGATGGTTTTATCTCTCATGTTTGGTTGGAGTTTTCAACTTTAGGTTTTTGACATACGTATTCTCGGAATTATTTTATTATTACATGATGATTTCAGTATTATTTTATACCACATTCAACATGGTATAATAATTGGGAAATTTTCATAATTAATTAAGGATTTGAAAAAAATTCCATAATATACAACTTGGTTTTGAATTACAAATTGTACAACATATATATATTATATATATAATCTAAAAATAAGGTAACTTCCCCTATTTAAGGTGAATGTCATCAGATCCTTAACGTATGAAACTTTTCTAGGATATTTGGTAAGCGTATATTTAGGTATTTAGACCCTAAATATTCTCTAATTTGTTAATTATTAATTATCAATATACACCTATTAGGTTACCACTACAACACTACCGCATAACAAACCCTCGATATTCCCCAAAAATAGGTAATAGCCGTAGTTGCATATTCTCTTCCTGGTATGAAAACTATCGATTATTGCATATTCTCTTCGTGAAACTCCATCTTTTGTATACCTAAGGTAAGATACTGTACTCTAAGAACCAATGGTGAATGTATCAATTCTGATTCAATACAATGGTGTTTGGCAAGACAATCGCAGATATGTTAAATTTGATGCCGAAGGGATTTTGATCAATTCGAGCTGCAATTATGAAGAGTTGGTCACGACAATATCGAAGCAAATCAAAGGGGGGAGTTGTACAAAGTTGATTGATATTAAGTATATTGTTCAGGAAGGGTATCCACCAATTTCCATATCAAACGATATGAATGTACAACTGTATATAGATTTAAAGATGAAAAAGACAGAGATCACTTCGTATCCGCTATGCATAACATTCAAGAACAATGCAGTCGACAGAGAACATGTGAATCCAAAAAGTTCTGCAACATCATCACATCGCGTATATGATTTAAATATACCAGATTTGCTGGAAAATGGAGCAACAAGGGTGATATGTAACGGGCAAGAATTCGACGACATAGATGAAGCTCAACATAGTATAATTCGAGACCCATCAAATCAAAACATCGAAGAAGGTCAGTTATACCAAGACAAAGAAACCATTATAAGTGTTATAAAACACTGCGCAATCCGTGAGAATTTTCAGTTCAGAGTTCAGAGTTCCTGTACAAAAAGATATATTTAGTATTGTTATGTAAATTTCTTCCTCGCAACACCGAAATGTTAAAACATGTATATAGTATATTGAAGATATGTATGCGTGTATTAATTAGATAGTAGTAGCAAAATATTAAATGTTAAGTTACTATATATATTATATTGCTTATAGGTATAAAATATAATGTTTTCATATTCAGTATATCATATTTTTCTTCCAACAGGTATTGTCTCGTATGCGTGGACGACATGTGTACTTGGAATTTTGTATCTTCCAGACTGAATAAAACTAAGATATTTAAAGTGAGGAAGTTCAGTAATGTTCACAACTATGGGGTCGAAGAACGAATGTATACACAACGTCACGCTACATCAGATTTCATAGGATATCTTATACAAGATAAGTACGTTGATCCGAAGACTGTGTATACTCCAGCAGATATAAGGCGAGACATAAAAAAAATTCATGGTTTCGATGTGAATTATATGAAAGCTTGGAGATCGAAGGAGAAGGCTCTTGAAATGGTGCGAGGGAACCCAAGCAAATCATATACAGAGCTTCCTAACTACTTGTACATGTTGATGCATACAAATCCCGGGTCCGTATATAGATTAGAGAAAACTGATGATGGATCATTCTTGTATTTATTTGTAGCTATTTATGCATTGATCAAAGGGTGGGAGTATTGCAAACCAATCGTCGTTGTTGATGGCAGCTTTCTTAAATCTACATATAGAGGAACAATAATCACTGCTTCAGCACAAGATGACGCAGGTAATTTTAAAATATTGATGAGTTAAAATTATCTACTAATTATAAGTTTTCTTTCTACTTGTAAGAGAATGAATAGAAGTGAGTTTAAAGTTCATTTGCTTATATATTGTAGCTCCCAGTTAGTTTCAGATTTTGTTTTTTTTTTGTTCGACTCTATTGATGAGTTTTTACAATTGTATAGTATACTGTAATTATAAATTGATGCAACACCATACATACAATATACTTATTGGTGATAATATAACATATATAGTGTTTCGCATATTTGATGTCTGCTTATAAATAACATCTATGGACGCAGGTAAAATTTTCCCGCTTGCATACTCTATTGTTGATTCAGAGAACGAAGCATCTTGGGAATGGTTCTTCGAAAGATTCAGAGAGACATACGGTGTAAGAGAAGGAATGTGTATAGTATCTGACCGACATGAAAGCATAGCAAAGGCATCTTCAACAGTGTTTCCAAGTGTGCCTCACTGTGTATGCATTTTCCACTTGTGGAACAACATAAAAGTGAAGTTCAAGAAGAATCAACTGCTTATGAAGGATCTATTTTTTGCAGCAGCGAAAGCATACACGATTGAAGAGTTTGAGCATCATATGAGTGAAATTGATGACCTTGACAAGAGGGTTAGACCATATTTACTCAAAATCGGATATGATAGATGGTCAATAGCGCATTCAACAGTCAACAGAACAACAACTATCACTTCTAACATTGCGGAATCGATAAATGCAGCAAATAAAAGTGCAAGAGACTTACCAATTTGTCCTTTGGTTNACGAAAGAACATGCACATGCCGTAGATTTCAGAAGGATGAAATGTCGTGCCCACATGCGTTGGCAGTTGTGACAAAGGAAGGAATGAGTGCGTACGAGTATTGCTCAGTATACTTTAGTATTGATTACATGGTAAAAACCTATGAACAAAAGGTATTTCCAATACCCGAAGAGAGCAATTGGGACATTCCTAGAGAAATATTAGAAGAAGTCGTGCTACCATTAGTTGGTCAAGTTCAGCCAGGAAGGCCAAAAAAGTGTCGATGGCAGACAGCTGCAGAAATACAATCCAAGAAGTCCAAAGTTTCTTGCGGTTAGTGCTGGCAAAATAGGCCCAGATTTTATTAGCCCGCCCAATCCGCCCATATTTTATTGGGCTGGATGAGTGATATTTTAAGTAGGTCACATTTGGGCTTTAGCCCATATTTTACCCATAAAATATGGGTATTTGTGGGTAAAAGTTGGGTAATATATGGGTTGGTAATCTACGCTACTTTCAGTCTTTCACGACATATTTTCTAGTATTGATCTCGTCTCGTTCAACAGATGGTTTCTTTTCATCAATCTCTTTAAGGGTAACCTCTCTGCCCCAGTCCCCCGAAACCTTCTTCCTCATCCTCTTCTTTTCCTTCTTTTTTTTTTTGAAATTTTAGAGCTAGGGTTGGTGCTTAGCTCTAAAAATAAGCAGAAGTTATTATTTATTTTATCACTCCAAATTTAATTCAAGAAATATATCATAACTGCTTTCTATGGTGAAATTAATTCCAAGAAATATATCATTTTGAATTTGTGATTGTATAGGCTAATTAGAAGTCCAATAAACTCCCAACACGGAGAGCACCTATCTCGCTACTGCCGATTTCACTCAACGAGAACTTCCTTTTCCTATGGAAATCGGCGTTCTATCCACAAACCAGGTAATTATTTTTCACACAAAAGGAAAATATAAATCAATCCCCAGTTTTTCTTCTGTCTTTCCTTTTTCTTATGGGGTTTTGATTTTTACACTTTCGAATGTCTGCATGACTGCTTATAACTATTAGATTCTTTGTTCTGTGTTTCTCCCAAATGTAAGTTATAAATTTTCTCAAGTTATTTCACTAGAAATTTCAGCTCAGGAATGAGTTTAGTAATGAGTCCAAATATGCCAGTGTTATATTTTGAACTTTTGCTTTCTATGTTAGATAGAGATGTCTACGGAGGTTAATAAGGAGGCTATTGAGGAGTCATGTGATGTTAGTTCGTCAATCGCAGCAAAACGAGCTAAAAAAATACTTCCGTTGTTTGGAATACTTTTCAAAAATTGCTTCGTGCTAGTATTGGTGAAAGGGGCAAAGCGCAATGTAAGGTATGTAAAATGATCTATGTAGCAGATTCTAAGTCTGTAACTTCAAATTTGAAGCGACATATTGATGCACACATAAATAATACGCAAGAGCGTAGGTGTGAGCTAGTTGATCAAGCAATTTATCGGGAAAAATTGTCTGTGGCTATTCTAAAGCATAATTATCCTTTCAGCCTTGTCGAGCATAAAGGAAATAGGGATATCCATTTGTACTTAAATCCAACTGTCAAAACCATTTCAAGTAATACTGCCAAGTCTGATATTTTGAAAATGTATGATAGGGAAAAAGAATTTCTAAAGAATGAGCTTGCTGCGATTCCTAGTAGGGTGTGTTTGACTTCGGACATGTGGACTTCTGTAGCATCAAATGGCTATATGTGTTTAACTGCTCATTATGTTGATTTGAATTGAATTCTTCAAAAAAGAGTATTAATTTTCCGTCGTGTGCCCCCGCCACATTCTGGTTCAGTTTTAGGTACTTTACTAATTGAGTTTATTAAGGAATAGGACATTGAAAAGAAGATCTTTACTCTTACTTTGGATAATGCTAGTTGCAATAGGGGGG